TTACAGACCAGGCCTAATTTAGTTCTTGGAAATCAATGGTAGTTTAATATAAGGAAGTTACAGCCCTGTCCCTCAACCTTAGTGGGGACAGTGTTCTTCCTTGCTCTCCAATCACTGAGGATATCTGAAAATTGTCCACAAGTATATTTTTTCAGGAGTAAATGAACAGAATGAAATAATCAGTTATGGCAAAAATAGTCATGCTCAGAAAATACTCCATAAATCTAACATTTTCCCTAAATGTGTTCCATATTTATTAAACTCAACTACAGTAACAATGAAGTAATGGTCTCCTCTTTTCTAGATGGGAGAAGTAACTGCTTAATTACTGATCAAACCCACTAAAGCAAAGTATCTTCCAAACTCGAGCAAAAAGCAGCACTACTTACTATTAACTACATGACAAGAGAATTAAGGATATTTCAAGGTTTTATTTTTAATTCGTGGGCGAATGACTTTAAAACACTCAACATTATATAACTCCTTTTAAAATAAAATTGCACAGTGGCAGGTCTTTCAAAGATAATAAAATTTTAACATTCACCCTCTATTAGGTCTCCTCATTGACCCCTCCAGGATGGGTCCCAAATGCACATGACTCCAGGCCAAGCAGGTACCAGCTCAGATGGGGCAGATGAGTAGGGACAGTGAACTACAGGAAGAAACTTACCCTCAAAGCCCCTATTACAGTTCCTTTGCCACTCCTGCTATGAGGAATGCAGAGCTGGGGCTCTAATATATCACTTTCTTTTTTTTCCCTAACAGAAGCAATAAATTGAAATCATGAGAAAATTTCCACTTTTTAATGTTGACCTTACCAGTACAGGCCATAAAGTACCTGCAAACTGAATTTGCCTTTCCAAGTTAACCAGTGCTGGCTACAGGGCACACACACTCTAGGAGATGCAAGGATAAGAATCTCAAACACAGAGCTGGGTGTGGTGGCTCAAGCCTTTAATCCCAGCAGAGGCAAGTGGATCTCTGTGCCTCTGTGCCATCAAGGTCAGCCTAGTCTATGTAGCAAGTTCCAGGGAAGCTGGGGCTACAGGGAGACTCTGTTTCAAAAAAAAAAGAATCCCAAATGTGTAACTCTTCTTTTAAAAATATAGTTATTTTTATTTTATGTGTATGAATATATTGCCTGCATGTATGTGAGTACACCTGTGTAGTGCAATGTCACGGAGGTCAGAAGAGGGCATAGGATTCCCCTGGAACTGGAGTTAAGGACAGTTCGTAGCCACCATGTGGTGCTGGGAATCAAACCCAGGTCCCCTGCAAGCAGTCAGTGCTCTTAACCACTGAGCCATTTCTCCAGCCCCTAAATGTGTGACTCTTAAACTCTGAATATTCCCCACCCCATCCCCCAGGACTATTTATTCAGACATCACAGTGAGGATGGGACTCTCCGTGTACCAAAGAACAATGGTAATCTTAAAAAAGAATTCGGAAGTTAAGTCTTAAAACTATTTCTACTTCAATATACTATTTTAAAGTACACATTTTAAAAGAAAAAAAATTAAAACATCAACAAGGTGGCTGAATCAAGAAACTACTCCTAACTTCAATACATTAGTGAACATACTTTCTGAATATTACAATTCAATTTTTAAAAAATCTAATGTTTGACAAACCCAGTGCATTAGCTGGGTAAAATTAAGCATTCATCAGCTGGGTCCTCAGGAAGCTGGAGTATCTCTAAGTGAAACCCTGGGACCTGGGAGTTGTAATGGGCTACTTCATTTCAGCAATATGAAAAAGGGCCAACAAAAATTTAGAAAGAGGCGACAACAATATTCACTGACAAGATATTTCTGCTATATAATGACGAAAGTGCCAAAGAACCCTAAGACTCAGTATAATTTTCTTTTCTTTTCTTTTCTTTAGCTCTTACTAAGAAGATTAAGTGGCTAAAATGGATAAACACAATCTACTGGATAAAAAAAAGAAATGCTATGCAGTGCAGCACCCAAAGATTTAGTCTTACAACTTTTTAAAAGACCCTCTCAAAATTTCTGGTTTAAGGGAATAAGGAGTTATATATTCACATTCTACTCAGCGTTCTACATTAATCTGGAAAGATATTCAAAATATTATTTAGACATTACTGGGGCTGAAGCTCACTGGGTCCTAGCACTATGGGTGGTGGTGTTAATAACTATCAAGAGCAAAATTTTGAGTGTCCGAAGGCAAATTTCTATTTGCCAGTTTGCTCTGCTTCAAGAGCTACCATAATTTACACTGCTATAATCTAGATAATTAAATGTAGCCATTTGTTACACTTTTAGGACTAGTTCTGAATTTGGGGTTAAAAGTTTGGGCTACGTAAAATATTATTTTGAATATACTTTGAATTCTAAAAACAAAAAGGTTTTCAAGTATTTTTCTTCATTTAACTGAAACAATTTACCCATTTTGCAAACAGGTAAGCACAAATTTAAATCAATAAGCATTTATTGGTGAACGGTTCCCATTCCGAGAAATACAATGAATGAATCAGTGAAGTTGAAATAAATTCTTTAAACTTACAAAACCTTTAAAAGGAAGCCTTTTTTAAAAACTCAGATCTGGGTTTTACCACTTGACATCTGTGTGACTTTAAGTTAGTTATTTAACTAGTCTGAACTCCATTCCTTCAATAAAACAGGATGAATATTAGCTACTTTCTCAGTGTGAGAATGACGATACTTCTTAGATGAGCTACAATTAATTCTCTTTCATAGACTGAAATCAGCCCTACAATATCAACAGTTTAAAACACTTCTAGTGAAGTGATTACACAAACAAGAGAAGTCAGCACTTCTCAAGACCATCTTTTTCATCCTCACACTTCTATTTTCCCTTTACTAGGCTAAAGGCAGCTTCTGGGGGATAGCAACCCTCCACCAATCCCACCCTAGTTTACACCTCAATTTCAATTCTCACTACACTCTTAACTCTGAAGATGAGACAGTCTATTTCTGGTCAGCCTTGACGCTGAAGCACCAAGAACAATGACATGGATAGAGCAGATGTCTAAAACTATCTGCAGATTGAGTGATGCACTCCATGCAGTAGTTAATGATTAAATGGCAGAGATGTGGACATTGTGAGGAGCAATCATTTAAGGTTTAGAAGTTGAAATACCACAATTAAACTTAGGCTGTGTTTTTGAAAATTTATGCATGTGTATGATCAGTGTTTTACCCTCCTGTATGTTAAGTGCACCTGTGTCATAAAATGCTCATGGAGACCAGAAACGGCTGTCAGACCCCCTGGAACTGAAGTTACAGATGACTGTTAGCCCCCACGTGGGTGCTGGGAACCAAACACAGTTCCTCTGCAAGAGCAGCCAGTGCTCTTAAGCCCTGAGCCATCTCTCCAGCCCCAAACTCTGCTTTTTGTTGTCATTGTTTTGAGAAAGGATCTTAGTATGTAGCTCCAGCTGGCCTGGAACTCACTTGTGTACACCATCCCACAAAGATGGTCTATGATCTCACAGAGTGTTGGGAAAGGCATGGGCCACCATACAATCCAACCCTGCTGAGCATCTCTTCAGATATAATGAATGAAAGGCAATCCTGCCATGGTGATGCTGTTCAACAACATATGATAAAGTTTCTTTAAAGCAATGTTCTTACTTGCTCCATCACTTCTAATTTCTTTCAGATTTATTCTAAAAAACAAAACCTCACAATGATATGTAGCCTCACCGCCAGCTATGTTGCAGTCCACCCCCCTCATGGGAAGTAGGTTGCAGTCCCTGAAAACTACCCAGAAAACATCAGAATTGAAGTGGTAAAATATCTACATCTGTAACTTTTGGCTTTATTAGCAACGCAGTGTTATAAATATCTCACTGCTTAAAAACTCAAACTCATTATAATATAGTCCCTTACAGCTTAAAAGTGGGTTTCCTAAACCATGCTCCACTTCAGAGAACCAAAGCCCTCACAGTGAAGGCACAGTTCACCCTGTATCTTTGGAAACATCTGCACTGGACAACAGTTTCCTTGCCACCCAAATCCAAGGTCTCTTCCACAATTCACACTGTTTCTGGATTTTGTGGCTTGAGACTGGCAGGAAGCTAGTCCTGCTAGTCCACTAAAGAGGTAGTAATGTAGGGCTGGTACAAGAGCTGACGGAGTCTTAGAGCAAAGAGCGAAGTATAAAATGCTCAAACATTTTAGTGAACACAAAATTAATGGAGGCTGGAGAGAGAAGCTAACAAGTCAGCTGTTGTAGAAGCAGCGGCAGCTTTCTACTGCAGCTGGCCTTCCCAAACCCACAGGGGGGTTTCTAACCCTGGGGCTTTCATTTCCCCCTTCCACTCCCAGGCGAGTCAGAGAAAACGCATACAGTAACTAATCAAAACAGTGTATTACATAAGCTAGGCTCCAGGTTTCCAAACTTAAAATCCCTACCCACCACTCAAACACCTCTTGCAGGTTGTCTGGGAGCGCGGGGTGAGGAACTCACTGCCCAGGGGAGTAGACAACTGACAGGCGAGTCTGGGTCGCCAAGAAGCTCCCTCTCTTGGGGCAGGTGACAGTAACTGGAAGTTCAGAGCAGCACAGTGGGCACAGGACCCCACTCCATCAGGGCCCAGGTGGCACCAACGCACACGTGGCCCGCTGTGGCCGCCCGGGCCAGCCCTGGGCTCTGATCACACCTTTCCACCAACTTCTCAACGTGGTCCAGGCGATGCTGCAAAGACGGTGACCTAGGTGCTGCGAGGTGCAGCACCCAGGCACGCACACAAAAGCATCTCCAAAGTTCCCCTACCCCCGGGGGGGGGTTCCCTCCACTGCCCACAGCCGGCGATGGACGCTATGGCGTACCCGCGAGCAACGTGGGAAGGTTTCCAACGCACACGGATGCCCACGAGCAGCACGGGAGGGGCCCACTTACTTCACCTGGGGCCCCGACCACGCGGTCCAGGAGGTCCAGCACTGCAGAACAGGGTCCGGCTGGGGACTGGCCCTGACCCCCTCCCCGCTCGTCCTCCCTCCCGCCCCTCGCACCTGATCTTGTAGCTGGGCAGCGTGTGCTTGCGCTTGATGATCTTCTTGAGCTGGTTAACGATGATGGAGGTGAGCTGCGGCATCGGCCTGCCCTCGAACTGCGAGCGCACCTCGAAGTCGATCAGCGGGTCCTCCACGAACGAGAAGAACCAGTGGGTGAAGGGCACGCGGGTGAGGACGAAGCGCAGCCGGCCCACGACCCGCGACAGCTTGACGAACAGGTAGGCGGACTTGCCGAACACCAGGTCCACGTCGATGGCCAGGTGGAAGCCACCATGGTACTCCACCTCCGCCTCGAAGGCCAGCTCCTCGGGACAGGCGGCGGGCAGCGCGTCCGCGTCGGGGCAGTCGGGCTCGGCGCCGGCCGAGGCCGCCACGGGCCGCACCAGGCGGATGGTCTTGATGAAGGGCACAGTGTCGCCCAGGAACACGTCCCGCAGGCTCAGCCCCTCCAGCAAGCGGCCGGCCGTCTTGGTCTGCAGCAGCTCCTCGAACTCCACCTTGATCTTCTTGGTGACCCAGCGGCGCGTGAGCGCCGTGTCCCGCAGCTCCCGGAACAGGAACAGGATGGTGGCGTTGAGGAAGTAGCAGGTCTCCCGCGTCGGCGGGGTCGGGCCGTCCGGGGTGGCGGTGGTGGTGGCGGCGCCGGCCTCGGAGGAGCCGGCCGCGGGCTCCTCTGCGCCGCCGCCATAGAGGTATTCCCGCAGGGCCAGGCCCGGCACCGGCCGCAGGTAGCGGAAGCCGTCGCCCGCGCGCGCCGCCTCGTCCGCCCGCGGCTCGGGCTGTCTGCGGTAGAGCAGCAGGAACTGGGTGAGCAGCGTGAGGAACGAGCCGAGCACGGCCGATGCCAGGATCATGAGCAGGAGCCCCATCCCGCCGCCCCCGCGCCCGCGGCGCTGCTGTCCTCACGCCATCGCCCCCGCCGCCTCCATCTTGCGGACATGGGTCGGGGCTTCAACGGCTCCCTCAGCCTGTCAGGAGCCTCCCGGCCCCGCACTGTTCGGCAGCCGCGGCCTCGCGCCTCCTCAGACGCTCCCCGGGGGCGGCCCGAGCGCCGGCGATCTGCGGCGGCTGCCGAGGGCGGGAACGGAGCCCCCACCCCCGGAGGCCTGAGCTCATTGGGCTAGCCCCGAGTGACGTCAGCGCGGGCGCGCTCCCGGCGGCGGGCGTGCGGGTGCGCGCGCACCGGGTCCATTCTAGCCGCTGGGGCGCCCTTCCAGCCCCGCCCCCCACGTCCGCATTCCTTCCCCCGAGGCGCCGAGGTCTGCGCTGCTGTCACTTGGAGAGCCCGGAGGTCAAAGGAGGGTGATCCGGAGAGATCCGGAGTCGGGCGGGGCCGGGCCTGGCGCATCGTCCGTTATCTCCTGCACCCATGCCCGGAGCTGGCTGTGGGCCCTGCGCGGTTACCCCTGCAGCGACCGTGTTTCTTCCCGCAGCGTGCCTCCTCCACTAGCCCCCGCACCCCACCCCCGGGTTGGCGGCGGCGGCTGCTGTCCCTGCAGGCCTGCGCCGCAGAGAACCAGAGCCTAGGGCGTTGGGACACTGCCCCAGCCGGCCTTGAAGACTGCCAAGCTTCAGAGACCGCCGTCGCTAGCCAGACGCTCTGCATCTGCAGAGGGTGGGCCATGGGAAGGAGGGATGAAGGAGGACCGCCCGCCGGAAGACGCAGACTAACTTTCCCACCCCAGGGGATGCTCACAATTGAAAAGAGAAGGAAGTTTAAATGAGGTGTGAGAGGAGGAGAAGGAGTGAAAGGAACTTGCCAACAGATCCGAAGATGCCTTAGTAATGCACTGTGGGTATGACTGAGGCTATCTCTGAGGCAGTTGCTTTTAGGATCCACCCATTTCACAGGTGACAACACAGGGTCACGTACTGGAGCCTGGTTTATCCAACACAAAGCTCTAAACTCTTGATTTCGTTTCTGTACAACAGCAGGGAAAATGCTGAAGTTGTGAGAGCTGATCAGTTCTCTGGTGCTCCAGGAGGGAGAGTTGGAGATAATCAACGGGGATTTTCCACAGGGCAGCACCCCAACTAAACCCACAGAGTTAGAAACGATTTCCCTGGCAACACTGTTACCCCTTGTGCCTTCCACTTAAGTGTTGTGTCATAAATGCTTACATCCCTCCACTTGGACACACTCTTTCTAGTTCTATGGAGAACAGATATTCCAATGCTAAGTCTAGCAGAGTCTGGCCCTAAAACAACAGTGCAGGGATCCTCTCTAGCCCTGGGAAATCTTCAGGCCAAGGATTTTCTTGACTAGATGATTCTGACCCAGCTGGGGTAGGTATAGAACTTTGGAACCAATCTGATCTCCTTACTTACTCATGGCCAGGTCTGGGGCGAGAATGGCTTTTTTAGTGGAAGACCTATGCTAGGTGTGGCTGAGCAACCTGTCTGATGTTTCTGGAAGCACTGTTTATGTCATGCCCTGCTTTCTCAGCTTGTATTATATATTGTATCAGCTCAACTGGGAACCGTAGACTCCGTTTCACCAGCAATGTTACTGGTAGTAGTTATGCCCCCTGTAGTAAATATTACAAAAGGGTAAGGGATCCAGGAAGGGTCGGGGAAGAATTCTGGAGGCTGGAGAGATGGCTCAGTCAGGGTAAAGTGCTTGTCATGCAAACATGAAGACCTGAGTTCAGATCTCCAGCACCCATGTACAAAGTCAGGTGTGGCAACAGGAGCCTGTAATCCCAGCACTAGGGAGACAGGAGACTCCCTGGGGCTTGCTAGCAAGTTTACCTAGCCAAATTGATGAGCTCCAGGTTCAGTCTCAAAAAACAAGGTGGCCAGTGATTGAGAAAGACATTCATACACATACTGATGCATATGCACACACACACACATATACACGAGCACCTACATATGTACACAAAACCAAATTCCAACTGTGTTGACCCAACATGGCTCTTAAATTATCCTACACCTAGTACCCTCCCCCACTAGGAAAGTTGGGAGATATTTCAGGTTCAGGTTCATCCGTGTTATTATTAGTGCTCAATAAATGTTAGCCTTTATGTTTTGAAAGCTGTGAAGTCTTTAGGAGGTGGAGCTGACTGGCAGAAGAAGATCATTAGGAGCAGGCCTTTGAAGTTTATAGATGCCCCAGTTCCTATCTAACTCTCCCTGCTTCCTGGCTGCTGTCATATGAATAAGCCACTGTTACACGCTGCATCTGCCAGGAGACAATCCCCTCTGCCTGGTCAGCCATGCCACTCCCTGTCATGATGGACGTGACTCTGAAATAGTGACCTTTCCTTCTGTGCCTGTTGGTTATTTTGTCACAATGGCCATAAAAGTAACTGATACAAGAGAATTAAAGCGCCAGGCATGGGGTAAAACATTTCCTTATTTTAAAAGATTTATGTTTTTACAAAATATTTTAAAAATCAAGCAAGGGAGATGGCTCAGTGCCACATAAGCACGAGGACATGAGTTTGGATTCCTAGCACCCATACAAATGCCAGGGTGGGTGGGACAGTCTATCTGTAATCTCAACTTCTTGGGAGATAGAGATGGGGAAAAGTGGATAGCCAGACTAACTGAACTGGTGAGCACTGGATTAAGTGAGAGACCCAGCTTCAATACATGAGGTGGACATCAATTGAGGAAGATAGCTAACATCAGCCTTTAGCATATGCACATATTTGCATCATGTGGCTCCATACACATACGGACATACATACACACATGCATACCACACAATATTTTTAAAGACAAATGTATTTGAATTTAAAAAAATTTTAGACTTTATGTGTATGAGTGTTTTGCCTGCATGTGTGTAACTGCACTCATGCATGCAATGACCACAGAGACCAGAAGATGATGTTAGATCCCCTGGAACTGGAGTTACAGATGGTTATGAGTCAACATGTGGGTGCTGAGAACTGGGTCCTTTGCAAGAGCAGCCAGTGCTCTTAGTCTCTGAGCCATCTCTCCAGCCCCGTTGGGAGTAGGTATTAAAGACGTGTACAGTCATGCCTGGCTGGATTATCCTGATTATGTTGTGGGTGGCACCATTCTCTAGACAGAGTTCTGAAGTAAGAGTAGAGAAAGTGAGCCGAGCACTAGCATGCACACATTCATTCATTGTGTCTGCTGTTGATTGTGGACATAATGTAATTAGCTGCTTAAATCCTGCTGCGATGATGGGCTGTAGCCTGGGATTGTGCGCCCAATATAGCCTGCTTCCCTTTGGTTGAGTTTGTCGGGGTATTTTATCACAGCAACAGGAAACAAAACTAAGGCAGTGGGAATGTTCACAATAATTTGGGAGTAGAATGCTCTTTGTCTTATGAACTAATGCCATGTTCATAGACGCTTAATGTTTTTAATGCTATTCTTGAAAGTGTCTAAATTCAGCAATGGTCTTTTCCCTTTTTAAAATATTAATGCTGGTTCATAGGAACTCAAAAGTCTAAGAAACGCTGACCTAGACTCTGAAAATCTGAAATTCTACATAGGTATTTGAAGAAAAGAGTTGTACTGTTCACTCATTAATGTGTTTTAAATGACACTGTTGAAATAAAACTGCTCAACAGCTTTCCTGGGAAGACTGTATTTTAAAGACAAAATGATTGAATACTGGAAGATGAGTTTCATATCAAGACTCATAACCTTACCAACCGAGAAAGGCAGGGGCTTCTAATGCCACTGCATTCTGAACCCTTTTATAGTGAATCCCAAATAGAAGACAGTCAAAGTTTGTGGATGTGGAGAGTTTTGAAATACATGAAAGGCAACTCAATAAAAATTACATAAAATAATGCAAATTGGGCTGGAGAGATGGCTCAGCGGTTAAGAGCTCAGGCTGCTCTTGCAGAGGATCCAGTTTCAATTCCCAGCGCCTACATGGCAACTAACAACCCTCTGTAACTCCAGTTCCAGGGGATCCAACACCCTCTCCTGATCTCTGCAGGTATTGCACAACATGGTGCACTTACATACATGCGGTCAATACTCTCATTACTCATAAAAAATAAAATATTTTAAAATAATGCAAATCTTGTCAACTAGATTGAACTGAGAAACCTAAGGAATGAGTGAGGTATACCTCTGCAAGTGTCTGTGAGGTGTTTCCAGAGAAGATTAGATCCTGAGGGCTCTGACCTAATGAATGGATCATCCCTTCATGGATTCATAATGTGACAGGACTGTTGGGAGGTAGTGAGAAGCATGAGGTGGGATTTGGCTGAAGGAAATGGGTCAGCACTGGCCTGTCGTTTAGGAGGTGATAAATCCTACCCTCACCTCTTCCTGTATTCTTCTGCTTCCTGGCTGTCAGGATGTGAGCTGCTTCTGCTCTGCCACACCTTCCCAGGCATGATAGACTGGCACCTCTGAAATCCTTCCCCCTTTAAGTTGCTTATATCAGATATTTGTCATACCATGAGAAAATTAATACAATGACAAATTTGAGGACAAGAGGAGTCTGGAGAGATGACTCGGTGGTAAAGAGCACTGGTTGCTCTTACAGAGGACCTGGGTTTGGTTCCCAGCACCCACATGGCAGCTTACAACCATCAGTAACTCAGTTCTAGGAGATCTGATTCTTTTGGCCTCTGCAGATTTGCATGGACAAATGCACTTACATACATGCAAGCACAATACTCATAAATAAAAATAAACCAAAAAAATTGAGGGCAAAGCATAGAGAAGCTTAGACTATTTGCTAACAAATGATACATCCAATCATTTTTGTGAATTGTGAAGACACAAATTCAACTATTTTTTGAGCATCCACCATGTGCCAGGCTCAGGGACACTGAAAAGGCAGAATAGAATCTGTGCTCAAGGCTGTCAGGCCCAGGAAGAAGCACACATACCTATATAATTCTGAGGATAAAAATAGAGCTCTAGCAGGGGCACATTCAACATTTTGTAGGAGCAGAGCCTTCAGATTCAGGGGCAGAGAACAGAAACTGCCTGGGGCTAACTTCCCTGCCCTGTCTTTTGGGTTAATGGTTCTGGAATAGCACCAGGAACTCAGCTGCAAGGTGTTCCTTTGAGTCTTGCACAGAGCCCCAGAGGAGACGATTGGTCTCCCTCATTTCCTTTCCCCTAGCCCCAACCCTGTACCATGTCTCATCA